AGAGGAAATACCTTAGGAGGAAGACGTTTGAGGAGGACCAGCAATGTCTGAGAAATTATATTTGAAAAACGGGGTCCAATTGCAACATACTCCAATAGCCTGCAATTAAACCACAGTCAACCGAACAGTAGAATATATGTCACAAATGCAAATTTAGAGTCAAGATGATACAAGGAGCTCACAACATCAGAAGATGTAGTATTACCTTTCAATGTCATCAAGGATAATGATACTCAAAGGAGACTTGTATGCATCTTCAAACACCTGGCAAAATATACAAATTCAATCAAGTGTGAACTTTGCATACAAAAAGTCACTAGCCAGATGTCTAAACCAACAAAAGAACAGACGTAAAATTTCCACTTTCTCCCAATAATTTCCTAGGAGTGTTCTTAAACTATGCATCTCTTTAAATTTTTGTCACTAATGAACCTTGATAATTTGTGCACATTTTGTGCTCTCATGAAGACCAATCATTGATTCTGCTGAGACCTACACATTTAGAAAATATCAAATTATCAGAAAGAGAAGCTTAAAAAGGGGCCACAAGGGCAATGTCAGACACATAAAATAGGACGAGACTTACTATCTTGACATATGGGAAATCACTGTCAATGCCAACAGTAGCTGCCAGTGCAGTTTTACCACTGTCCGGGGAAAAGAATCAGAATTTTTTTTTTTGCCATTAAAGAATCAGAAGTGGTTGAAACATAAAAAATAAAAAAAAGGGGAAAATAATGAAGAAGAGTGGTCATGCATACCTGCCACTCGGTCCTTCTAGTAGGCAAGTGACAAGAGGACTTCCCTCACTCACTTTAACTTGTTCCACTAGCAACATGGCTCTTTGATAAATGTGTTTATGACGATTACCACAGTCCATCATGCCATTAAGTCTACAAATTATTTTGTGTAATATTTTAGTAGAAAAGTTTCAGAGATGTTTATATAATCTCTAACACATCGATCAAAATATATATAAAGAAGGTAAAAATAAGTGTAATTAAAAGAACTGAAGAAGTTTACTGATTTCGGCTGAAAACATCACCTGCACCGCTCAAGGTCATCAGTGGAAGCTCCAAATGCAGGAGTAACCTCATGGAGTGCATTGAGAAAATCATCCATTGTAACCTTAATGCTCTCTTCATCCACTGGTTTTGTAAGATCATCCATACTTAGCTGTCTATTCAAAGCAAATGATACTGCACTTTTCACAACACCTTCAAGTTCCGCTCCACTATAGTTTTTTGTACGAGCAGCTGGACAATAAATTATTAGAGCCCATAAGAACTTTTAGGAATCACGAATAACGGTCGAAGTTGTCCACAAGATAAATGTTTCATACACTTTTTATCTATATAGCCATCAGAAGAACAATCCAAATATAATTCATCTTAGCTTTTGAGGCATTTGCATACTACCTAATTATTATTATTTTTTACTTCAAAATCAGATAAAATTTTGAAATTATTAAAAATTCCATGATTCGTCTGGGAAATAGAGTTATAACAATTATTGGTATGACAGGCATCTTAAATTCTCAATCTTCCATGGCACTTGCATATATTAAATTAACAGAATTGTTCAAGAATGAATATCGAAATCCAACAGTCCAACCAAAGATATTCTAGAATAAATTGAGTCTAGGAGTAGTAAATTAAGAAAACAAAATTATTCATCCAAAAGCTGACTATTAGTTTAAGCAAACAAAAGCATTCATCTTAAAGCTGATGTGATCTTAACAATGGCACTCAGGAGGAGGGGATAAACAAACAAAATTCCCCCTTCAATGGTTAGTCCTTCCAAAGCACTGAAGAAAGTAAAATTCACAGACATATGTCAGTGATAGACATACCAAGTTCTTGAAGGTTAACATCAGGAGCAAGAAAAGAATTCTCTTTCATCTTGTTTGTATGAATTTGAAGAATCTGCAAGCGGCCATTTTCATCTGGAAGGCTAATCTCAAC